TTAAAAAAAAATACTTCTTTTTCTTTTGACAAGAATATCAAGTAAAAAAAACAGTCACATTCATTTTTACTTTAATTATTGGTACTCAATTTCATTAATTAACGCGTAGACCTGGTCTCAAAATCAATTTCCACTAATGGTAAACAAGAAGAAAGTAATGATTTATCTTTCTTAATTGCATGTGAAATGATGAAAGAAGAACAAAAATAATACGCCTAACATGCTTGTGTGTACTTTACATTACAGCAAATCTCTTCATATTTTACTTACTCAAAAAATAAAATTTCTCATTCTTTTCTGTCTAAAATTTTGCTATTAATTTACTATTTATTTGAGAAGTGTGTACTTCACCATAAATAAATTACATGATATTCATACCTATTTTTATATATTTAATTAATTGTTATTAAAAAAATATAAATTTCCGATGATTACTATAAATAAATTTTATACTCTTATTTTTATATATATATATATATATATATATATATATATATATATATATATATATATATATATATATATATATATATATATATATATATATATATATATATATATATATATATATATATATATATATATATATATATATATATATATATATATATATATATATATATATATATATATATATATATATATATATATATATATATATATATATATATATATATATATATGGATGATTTTAAGGTCCGGTCAAGTTGGGCATGTGTCCAGACTCAGTCTCAAAATTTTGCCTTTTTTACAACAAAAAAAATATAAAAATTGTGACGGTTAATAAGTTTTGTTATGGCCGTTAAAACCAACACAATTAATGAAAATCAGAAAATATGGTAATTTTGAATAAAATGTCTCATGTCATAAAATATATTGAATAAAATGGTGTTATTTTATCATTGATAATGACAGTTTTGACCACCATAAATTAAATATTTTTCACAAGTAAAACATAATTTTTTAAAACCTTTTTTATGCAATTAAACCTACATTACATTAATTTTTTTGATATTATAATATTTAGATTCAACTATGTTACAAAAATGCAAGAATTAAAATAAAAAATAAAGTTGCAATTTAGAACTAAATTAATCAAAAACAAAAAATGAATACTTAGGAGAAATAAAATATAACATATGAGTAGCAGCTACTAAAATAAATAAAAAAACATGTATAAGATTGTAAAAAAGAAGAAGAAAAGAATAAATTCATTTCTCAAAGATATAAAAAAATATATTAGGACTAATATTTCAATTTATGTTCCCTTTATATCAATTATATGGTTTAATTTATGTTAACTAAGAATTTATATTTTAAATTTAGTTTGTAGTTACAATAGTTAGCAAATAAAATTATTTTGTTAATTTGTTACTAATTTCATAAATTATTATGAATCACACGAAATGATGTTTCAGGTTAGAATCAGCCTCAAGTTGGATATGACTATGTTAGTTTTAAAATTCGGCCGGTCCA